TCAGAACATCCTGTTTATCACCATTTACATGACTGTGACAGGTCTCAGGTCTAATCTTTCTTAGGTCCTGCTAATAGAAAAGATGTCAGTGAATTACCACCCAAAGACAATTTGTGCAAGAGATGGGGTGAATGTTACTTCTCTGACTGAACAAATCTGGGGAGCCACAGAGCACCTGGAGGAAAAGTTGTCTTTATTTACGTTCGTCTGTTGAGAGAAATGTAGTAATAGAATGTTATTTTTAAACCATTTAAGAGGTTTTAAATTTTCTTAGAAAGAATAACCCTACTTTTCCAGCCTAAAATAATTTTTTAGGGTTGATCTGAAGCCCATTGACAATATTATTTGCTTTGCTTGGCTTTGATGATGCTCATATTACAAACAGTAAGGTTTCTTGTTTTAACATTGATAGCAATAATCAACTAACTGCAAGCTAGTGTATGGTCTTTTGTTGAAAGGGAGACATTTTGGATCATTTTCTTTCAGTAAGTAATAAGAAGAATTGACTGAACTTCTGAAATATAAGGCTTAGGCCGTGATTTTTCACTTCACTCGTTTCATGCTATGAAGTTCAGTGTCTATAATCTCACTAAAGGATTCTCTCTCTAAACTTAGCAAAATAAGTCCTAACCTTCTGAAGGTGAGATGACCTGATGCCATGAATCAGTTAGATTAATGTACAGGTAACGTATGTTTAGATGGATTCGGTAAAGTGTAGAATCAAGCACTTAACTGGTGGAACAATACATCTAAAAACACGTATTTTGTACTAGAAGATCTTTCAGGTACCAGCACCATGAAGTAGTTATGCCCTGCCTGATCAGTAACACAACACAGGACAGGAAAGCCATCTGAACCAAAAACATTATGCACAGTAGATACGGAAGGCACTGTGTGTCCACACTGGGAGCAAACCTCTACTTATTCCATAAGAGTGTTTCAGTCCTAGGTTAAAGCGATCTCCTGTATGTGCAAAAACACTAGTATTGGTTTTCCTTGACTTTGTCAGTTCCTGTTTAAGTGTGTAATTTTGTATGAACAATGATAATTCTGTTTCAAGCGTGGCTCACTGAAGTCTAGCAGTGCAGTGTGTAAGGTAAGTGGTGCTAAAGAAAACGTTAAAAAAGATGGAATTTTTTAAAAATGAGGAGCAAATGCATCTTTAGTTTCTTGAGACTATAAATTTAAAGGCATTTGCCTTGTTGAGAGGCAAGTACAAATCAAAGAAGGTTTTTTAAACTATAAAAATATGATTTGTGATTGTTTTGCTTGTGATGGAATGGGAATGTAAGGGAGTTTCCTACATTATTTTTGCTTGATGTTTATCATTCCACACAGATGACCATAAAAAGATTTTATAACTTATTATAAGGATCATTCAACCAGCTTTTCCTCCCTCTCTTTAGCCTCCTTAACCCCCATGCATGTTAGGTAAACACAAAGTTTATTGCATTTTTTTGGTATTTGAAATAGGGTAATGGTATTTTTATTTTGAAAACTGTAGATTATTTTAAAATATCACTTATATGCATTTCTTAACTGAAAAGCTTGAAAATACAAGTGAGAGGAGGAAGTCCTTAATCTGATTTGCATAAATCAATAATAATAATAGTATAGTTTAATAGCCCTAGTCCCTCATTTGGTTTTCTTAATCTTGAAGGAGAGCAAAAAATAATTATTGTTATAACATAAGGGACACTATGTGGCCTTTGGATTATGTAAGTGAATATCTGCTAAATTTTTTTTTTCTTTTTACAAGAAACCAGGATAACATGAATTTAAAGACTCTGAGCTAAGAATCATTTTTATCCTGGTTTGATTCAATCCTGCTGCTTTTTCACAGCATTAAAAAACAAGTTGAATAAGCTTTTTTTTTGTTTAAAGGTTTATTTAACATTCTTTTTAAAAAAATCTTTTCTTCAATAGAAATTATGATCAAAAATATAGAGAAAGACTGTTGAATATCTTGATGTAATATTCAAATCTTTAAAGGGGACTGTGCCTCTTTATGTACAAAATAAATCCCATGCAGGCTGTGCATGGATCCGTTGCCTTGCTCCCAAGTGGAGCTGGGCTTGAGTCTTGCTCACAAGCTTCATGGATGAAATGGAGACATGTAGGCATCATCTTACTAGTTGTTATGGTAGCTGAAAGCAAACATGGACCATTCCAATGCTTTGTCTCATACGTTCAGTAAACACAAAAACACACAACACTTGGAGAGTATGATACTAGATTTATAATGAATGCAATAGTTCTTGTAGTTAAGTCAGGGCAACTACTCATACATAGAGTACTGTTGAGAAGTCCACTCTAGACAACATTTCTAGCTTAGCTTTGTTTTGTTTTGAATATTATAAATATCTTCCAAAAGTGCTCCAGGAAAGCTCAGCAGCTAAAGAAACCAAACAAAGACTAACCTTTAACTGCTTGCCATATTCCTGCTAGCAATAGCCGTCTGACATGATAAATATCTAATGTCTAATCTCTAGGAATGTTATCATTTGTTCTTTAAGGAAACCAAAATTATATTTGTAGCTCACAAGGGTAATGCAAAATGCTTTCAAAGTAGTAAACGTGCTCCTGGGATATTTATCAAGGTCTGCCAAAGCTTTAAATGGAACTGTAGGAACAGAAATGAATGAGCTGTCTTCTAGTTAAGTCTTAGCTCATGATGCTTTATATTATGCGCCGTAAAAACAATTTTTTAATCAATAAATAAAATCATCTGTTGCCTTTAATGAGGCAGCTCTGAAGCACATTCTTAGAAGTATTGAGCTAAGTATAAGTCATTTTTTGCTATCTTCTTCATGTGGCTTTCCATCTTAGATGGAAGCTCATTGCTTTAAGCTTTATTTCAGTATATCAGCTCAAGTTTTCCTCTCTATCACCCAACATTTCCTGGGAGTTGGATACACAGCGTATTCAAAGAAAATGTCCACTTTTCCTAAGATACCTATTTGCAGCTTTCTGAGAACTGAATTAACAACATCATAGAAATTTACACTCTTCATAAGTATATGAATACTACAGATATGAGTGTATAAACACTGTTGATGATGAAGCCTTCTTATTGCTGTTCCACGCGAAATCTGCTATACAAGTAATGTCTGCTGTTAGCCATCTAAAAGACAGGCATTCCATCTCAGACCCTTGTCTATGTGGCTGCGTTAAGTAGAAGAGAGTATTTGGGGAAAAAAGAATTCTGTACCCTAAAAACTTGGTTAAGAGTAGAGTGAATCCCTCTTTTGTGACATTTCTCTTGCATTACCTCCTATGAAGGAGCTCTGAATCTGGGATCACCAGGCATCACACTGACTTTGAGAAGTTTGAAGTTAAATAGAGTGATATTCTCTCATTCTTTGTTAAAAATTGCCCTCCATGAATGGCCTTTCAGTATCACTTAAGAATAGTTTGGATGTTATTTGGTATTTCATGTCCTTTGCTGCCTTTCAAGACTTTGTTTGATGTTTCCTACCTGAATTGTTGCCTGGAAGACCATAGATAGGGTTTCTAGTCAGAAAAAAAAAAAAAAAAAGTTTTGTGAAGTCATAACTTAAAAACAAAATTTCAACTATATCTTTTTCCAAGAAGCTTCAAGTGTATTTATATTGACTAGGTGAAGTAAGTAATTGGTTGAATCTAGATCTAGAAACTTAAACCTATAAGTGGAATTCTATTTTTTTCCCAACTCACTGAAGTTGGAATTACTATTGGACTGGATTCTTGGAAGTGTCTGATTTTGTAATTTTGCAGGAGATATAATAATGTTTTTGGAATGAATCCCTACTTGCCAGTGAATCCACAAAGAAGCAGCATATATATTTCAGTGCAGAATCTCATTTTAATTCTGTACATCTCAGAGTGAAATCCCTGCCTATCTTGAATAATACTTGCCTCCTGTACAGAACTCCTGTACAGAAATCTGATTGTGTATTAATGCACAATGATGGTGTATTATCATAGGGAAATGTAAAGTCTACCATAGGAAAGGCAATTCCACTGAATGCCAGATTTTGCACCGTGGTTACTGTCAGATTCTTTACTTCATGGTTTACTTTGATAAGAGCTAATTCTAGATATTTGTGGATTACACAGACACTAAACACTAAAATTTTTGTATTACATGGACACTAAAAACAGAGAGAATCTGAAATGCTGCTACATGTGTGTACTGTGCTGCAGTTCCATGGTAAAGACCACAGAGGAATCCTTTCGCCGGTGTCCTTTTTTGTTAACTTCTTACAAAGGGTGAAAAAATTGACTGCTGCAGGACTTTTCAGAAAGTGGCTGTCGGCTGCAGTGGATGACTAAATAGAAAGTCCTGCCAATCTGACAAAACTCTTAGTAGCAGCTTTGACAAAAGTACTGCTTTGTTCCCCTGAATATCTCAGACTGTTCTGCGGTCTCCGCTCACTTTTCAGTGTCCCACTGCCCAGACTCCCAAAGGTTGCAGCTCCCCTGCCTGCATCATGTCCAATTTCTGCAATGGAGCATGGATGCTGAGTGTGCCACAGGAGGTTTATGAGGAACTGTGTTCAGCTCCAAGTTCATAAGGGTCCAAGGCTGCACCAGCTAAACAAGAAGCTGCCCTTGGAAGGGGAAGAGCAGTCCTGGAAAGCTGCTGTGATTTTGCTTCTCAAACCTGCTGGGTGTTTTTAAGACTGGAAATATCGACAAGTTCTCCCATTTGGCTGCCCATAGTGGCCCCCTTCGGCAGGCTGTCCAGCAGCATGAGCCAAACCTCTTTTGCCAAAACGATCAGCAACAGCAAGTCTGATGCTCGCCTGCTCTGGAGATGAGTGTCCTGCAAATATCTGTGTCTGCAAGGCTAATTGCAATTCCCTCCCTGCCTTCCCCTGTGATTTTATAAAGCAGTTAGGAAAAGATCTCCTTCTAGAACAGAACCATTAAAGTTACAATAGTAAAGTGTTTGCTTGCACCAACTCTAATAATAATGAAAAAATAATTCGTTAATTGGTTTATGTATCTGGTTACAGCAGCAGATTTGCAAGATGATAATGCCCCAGGAGGAAGGATCAGGAAGCTGAGTGTTGGGCAGTATGACAATGATGTCCCTGGGCAGCCAATGTACACCAAGTGTGGATGGATGAAGTCTCCTGCTGCTGACCAGGCTGTAAATCCAGGATCGCGAATTGCTGTAGGGGAGACCAAAGAGGTAAGCAATAAAGAATATTATCTATTCATAAAGGTTTAGCAAAATGAAAGGCCAATAGGGCCCTGCATTCATGTTCAGTGTCCAAAATCTCTGTAGATCAATTTGCATTTGGGTCCTGGCAATAAGAATGAATGCCCATAGTTAGCTCAGAAGCATAACTCGGTGTTGCAGGCTGTCCTGCAACATTACCCTCAGTATGTCATTTTTCCATACGTGATTTCAGTGTTCCAAGATCTCTCTGGTGGGCAAGTGGATCAGATTACATGGAATCATCTAAAATCTGATGATGAAAACTACCCCACTGTATTGTACAATAAAGTGGGAATTTTCGCACTGTAATTTTGCTCATTGTGCCCTTCCTAGATGGCATGTTACCAAGATGAAATAGATGGAGGAATCTACTCCCCAACCAAAATTGGAAATGAAGCTGTCTCATCCACACCAATGTTTCCACTATCACCAGAGACACCATATGGTAAGGAAATACTTGCATTTTCATTCTCATAGTGCTATTAGCATTTTATCTATCATTAAAGAGTAACTTTACTTTTCTGCCTCTTGTAGTTAAAATGCCACCACTATATCATCAACATATTCCCTCCAGTCAAAAGACCAGCAGCCCATCTGAGCTGTACAGAACTGGTCTTGGTAAGAACCCCATGCATAAATGATTTGAAACTGAAATGTGAGTGAAGACAACTACCAAACAGTAGTTATTCCTTTATAAATATATGGGCATGCATCTACTGAACGTAAATATATGCAGCTTGGAAAATAGAATTTGGCTGCAGAGACTTGTAGTGGTCTGCTATCAAAATAGTACTGTCAAGACATTTGATTTCTTTGTGATTTTTTTCTTGGAGTTGTCTCTGTGTCAGCAAGGAGAAGTGAGGAACATGATGTTAACATTCTTGTGCAGCTGGCAGCAGGTGGTGGTAATATCTATTCAATTCAGGAGGTTTTTTAGTTGAAAGAATGAATGTTCAGGGTTTTCCTTGTTGTTTGTGGCTTATTTTTTGCTACAACACAGGTTGTAAACATGCAAGCTTGGAAAAATAATAGATAAGTATATAAGTAGTGTTTAAAGGATTAGCATGATCTACCTATGAATTGCCAGTAAAGAATTCCTTCTGTTTGCCTTAACCTTCTACTGCTAGCATGATGGTATATTCTTCACAAGTATCCTCTCTCTGAATCAAATTCATGCATTATTTTTGCTACATATATACTGATAAATTACTGTCTTTGTTCTATTACCATTTCACTTGGTTTGAATACAGAATTTCCGTATGTTTCATGTTACCTGTGTATAAGTGTATAAATAGATCAATGCAAAAAAAAAAAAAACCTTTATATAGTGTTGACTTAACTGAAGGCAGCTCAGCTCCCTACCACTCCAATTCCATCTCTGATAACCAGAGTGCCTTTTGTTGAACTGTTCACATAATTCAAAACTAAATGTGTATGTATACACACATACACACACACACATATAAATACACCTTTTTATTTTTATATATGTGTATAAAATTGTATATAAAGTTCTAAAGTATACTATATTGCCTATTCTGCTCATAGAGCAGAATAATTCTCGGAGTTCTGCTCCGAGAATCATCTTCTCAGAGAAGCTCTTGATAGTAAAGTTTCTAATAATTTGGACATGGCCATTTTTGATGCAATAGTAGCTATAGTCTTGTGCCTTTAATTTTGGGGGAAAAAAAAGGCCTTCTGTAATTTGCTTCATTTAATAGGGAAAGTAAATAACATCAACACAAAATGAAGCTATCTTTAGTAATAAAGCAATCTTCTACACTGTTCAAGACATCAGTTTATGGTTCAGTTGCTGTGGCTTTGACATTTACTCTCTCAGCTCTTAAACAATTCAAAGTAAATATACTCCTGAAGTCAGCTTAAGCAAATCAATTACAGTTTGCTTACCTTGAAGTCATCTACTGAATATTTTGTTTTCTTGTTAAATGATTTCCAGTGCTGTTGCTAATAGCTGGGACTTGCACTGGAAGGATTAAAGTGTTTTTCAGCATATTTCTCTATTTTTGTGGGTGATTATCCTCCTTAATTCCAGGTGCTGTCACCTCTTAAATACTGGTTTTAGATTCTCGATTAGATACACCTTGAAAATAATGACTCTAGCTTAGAAAGAGCAGAAAAAAAAATCTCTCTTGGAACATAAAAATAAGGATTCTTTTCTGCCCCTTTAGAAATGGCTCTCAAAGTTTCTTATGAGAGAGGTGGAAACTCTGTGCTGAGTCCAGTTGACAGAATAGGCTCTTTCTGTGTTTTGATGACAGTCTTCTTGCTTAGAGACAGTATGAGCATGAAGATGGGTAGAAAAGAGAACTGACAGACAGGTAGTTCTTCTAATATGTTATGTCTGCTTTCTGTTTGGAAATGATTGTGTGTTTGTTTGAGGTATTTAGCAAAAGCAAATATCAAGTAGAGAGGGTCAAGTGTTGGACTGTAGGATTCGGGCCGGAATATGTTGCACATTATTAAATGGTGTCGCAGATGTGCTTGTTCCCTGATACTACTTGGTTCACATTTTCAGGTCACAGGCTCGATGGTGTTAAATGAACTGATTTAGACTCTTGTGTAGCTTACAGTTTTTGCAGTAGATCACTGAATCATAAGCATGGATAGGCTTGTAACTGCTGCGCTTCTTGATATAATAAATATCTGGGGATATTTATTATGCCTATCTTGCCATTGGAATACTGAAATACAGTTGGATGTCCAGAAAACATGCAATATTCTATTAGTGAACATCTCTAAGAAATATTCATTGGGCAACTCTCCTATCATTGCACAGAAACATCTTTGTAAAAGGCAATGTTAGAATCCTACCTATATAAAAATATTCTTTTTCTTTCTTTTCTCTCTTTCTCCTTCAGTATTCTGCTTTATTTTCATATTTATATCTACAATATCCATTTACTGTATTTGCTTGCTTAAGCATCTTGTCCCTTTGGCAAAAGCGAAGTGGACATCTTACCACTACCATTCCTACCTATCCCTGGTTCGCAGCCAGAGCTGAGAGCATTATGTTGGATGTGTTGGATGAGGAAAAGAATCTGAAGGCAACAAAAGGACATTTTGTGTGGTTAAGACTCTTCTAATGCACATGCCAAAAGGACAATGCTAACATCATGATATAAGCTGCAAATAATTCTGACAGCCCCTCATTTCAAGTACTTCTTTTTGCAGACTTCTTGTTCTTTGAAACACTTCTTTTGGTTTGTGTAGAAGTCAGGAAACAGATTGACTTATCTGGAGATATTCCACAGGTTGAGGGCTTTGGAATCATGGCAGAAATTTCTACCATTAAGATGTTGTTTGTCCCTTTTATCTGAGTTCAGATATCACTCGACCTCAAAATAGCTTTTTTTTTTTCTGCATGTTGGCTTTGCTACTCACCTGTGTTCCAAGTATCAGTGAGGATTCTATCACATTCTGTTTTCCTGTGCATCTTCTGTTTTTATTTCCTTCCCATTTCCTGGTATATAGCTGGTATATTTCAATATAGTTAGTACTTGGCATATAAAGGCAAAACTACAGTCTAGAAGATTGTTTTTGCAAAAGTAATAAATCAGTTTATTTTTAAAGAATAATATATATTTTTTGTATGTAGTACATTCAAGAATTGCAATGGCATCCAGTCTTCATGTGTATCACATGGCAAAACTATCTCTTCTGCTGTGCTTCTGTGATGAATTATTCCTGTTCACTGCGTGCCTTATTTCTGGAATGTATTTAATTCTGATTCTTAAACTATTTATTCAAGTGAAAGGCTTTCATGCCTTCCATAAAACTTGACAAATCCTGCCTCCAGAAACCTTAATTTTCTTTGCTGTGGAGCTTAGACTGATTATCTGAAAGACAAATCACTTCTTAAGACAAGCTTGAGCCATCTATAAATTGCTTGGTTTTATAAATATCTCCCCAAAAAAGAGCAGGATCCAAATAGTGAGAACACAGATAGAGTCTCCTGGTAACATAACAGCTCAGAGGCAAGTACTGTGCACCAGTGAAGGAACAAAAGCCCCATTTGTAGGCTGTTTTGAAGCTTATGAAGGCATTCTTGTCTTGCACAGCATACAGCTAATTGAGACCTTTGTATAGGGAAGCACCAAATAAAACCATGGCAAATTCTTTGCAGGGAGCTGAACTCTGGCTCTCCACTCCATCCACATTCAGAGACTTCCTTACGTGCCTTCAGGGCTCCGGGAAAAGCTACCCCTTCCCCAGCCTTGGCCAAAGCACAAACAAAGCTTTGCACAAAATCTGCCCTCGCAGACAGGCAGTGTCCTGCAGCAGAAGGCCTGGACTGTGGAACAAGGGAAGATTATCTATAATTTTTTATCCGTGCCCTGTTTAGGAGAAGACAGGGTGGCCTGATTTTCCATCTCCACCAAAATAGCCTAAGTATACTTTTGTAGTTCAAGTCAGGCATGCAGTGGAATGGCAGCCAAGAGGATGAATGTCAGCACGTTTCAGAGTGCATAAACTTCATGCTCACCAGTGACATTAGCCCAGGTGCTGTACTCCATGAAGGTATTATATATACAAGCTGTATATATACAATTTCTAAAATTTCTAAAAATTGTCCAATGATCATATTTTTCTTTGTGCTCTCATATACTCCTGAGGTCCAGACACTGCTATTTTTCTACCCTTTTCCTAACACAGTCTTTGTTTTTATCTGACAGAGGCACTGAAATCCTAAATTCCACCAATTGACTAATGTAGACTTATTCTTCTACATCATCCAGGGAAGTGATGAATCATTCATAAATCCCTCAGAAGGCAAAAACACATGTTAGTACAGAAATCTATTACTAATTGTAATTTCATACTGTGACTGCATCAGTGTCATTTCTTCCCATGTGTTCTATGGGAAATGAGCCATATTGCTTAGTTATTCTGGGAAAAAAAAAGAGTATTCAGGTTCTGAATGGAAAGCTTTTGTGTGTGTCAGAAGGGTTAATAGAATGGGAGATAGATATGATGCTGCTTCCTGAGAGGAGAAAATTAGCAGCTGATGTTGTACAAAAGCATCATTCACAATATGAGAGATTTTATTTATTTCATTTTCATGCCCAAGCATTGCCCTTAGCTGTGTACATAAGATACATGTGTCCAAGGCAAAATCAAGAGCAAGTTGTGGCAGGTATGGAACTTTTCCAGGCATCTGGGTTTATTTACTTAGTACATCAGTGCATCCACTTCAGTGGAAGTTGTCATAAGCTCTGTCCTCCTGGACAGAAAGGTGTGTTTAGTTTAGTTTTGTTTTTCCTTGTTTTACAATAAGGCTATTAAAACACTATAAAAATCACAAGTAGAGACAAATGATTTATGATGTTTATTGCAAAGTAGCTAGACAAGGTCTGTTTTATATTTTTCACTGTCTTGCAACTGACCTTGCCATGTTTATCACATGGGTAGCGTAAAGTGCTAGCACACAGTGCTTGCCTCCATAATATTTTTACAGTGAAACATCTGAAGTTTCTTAAGTATACTAAACTATACCATTTACTAGGGTATGTTTAGCCTCCATAGCGGAAAGCAACCACTATGAAAGGACTCAGGTCTCCTGTTTGGACTTTACCAACATGAATTTAATTAGGGTCTTG